CTGGCCCAGACTGATTCAGGAAACGAAAATCAAACGTCCAAACACTGAATTGTCTAATTACCCATAGAATCCAATAGACACCAATATATATATATATATATAAATATTATATAAATATACTGGTTGGTCGTTTCAACTTAGTTTCAACCCCTCTGAAAAATATAAGTTCGTCAGTTGGGATGATGACATTCCCAATATGATGGGAAAGTCATAAAATCCCATGGTTCCAAACCACTAGCCAGTCATTAAACAGTGTATATTTGATCACATTCATGGGGATGAGTTGGATTACCAACCAGAAAACCATTGCTTATATATATATAATGTATATATATAATTATATGTATATATACATATATATGTCCCATTGCCGTCTTCGATTATCAGAGGCTAAAAATCGTCATTTGTTGTTGGTTAAAACGTGATCTCACCCATCCATCAACCCAAACGTTCACCAACGTTACTGTTGCTCCATGGAAAGCTCTCATTAAAAAGGGGCCATAAAATCCCCATAGAAATCCCTTAGTTATCAATGGCCATGTTCAATCGCTATCATTACCGGAGGGTAAACAAATATTTGGCCGACTTCAAAAAACTGCAGCCATTTGATCCCCCAAATTCCCATTCCATTCCGACGGTTTGAGGCGACGTGAGGTCATAATGCATCCAAATATATCCAGATCAAGTTCTGGTTGGTGGTTGACCTACCCCTCTGAAAAATATGAAAGTCAGTTAGGATGATTATTCCCAATATATATATATATATATTTATATATATATATATATGGAAAGTCATAAAACATGTTCCAAACCACCCAGAGTTGGGTTATGGCATATCTCCACCACATCCGATGATGGTGAATTTCCCATGGATTTTTCTCCGCATTTACCCTCTGGTAATTTAACATAGCTATGGAAAATCACCATTTTTAATGGGAAAATCCACTATTCATGGCCATTTTCAAGAGCTACGTTAAATTACCAGAGGGTATGTATGTCCCCCCATTTTTGCCACTACAATCCCCGAAAAAACCTCCAGTCGACTTCCAGGCTTGGATCACCGTCCAGGCTTTGAAGAGAGGGCTCAGTTGGTCGACATGATCCACCAATAAAGTTTGGTTTTCATGGGAAGTCTCTATTCATAAACCATTGAGGGAATTAGGCACATCCCATATGCTCCAATTTCCGGGTTATATCAACACATCAACACCCCAATCTAATCACTATATATTTATATCTACTACTACACCCATGTTTTTTTTATTATTTGCACTTAAATGGTAGGTTTTTCTGGTCAAATGTACACATGGAGCATGCCCGAAGCATCACCATCCATCACCATCCGCCGACGCCAAAGAACTGCGGAGAGTGGCAGGTCTCGTCGTGACCTCCGGAGAATTCGATTTTTGAGTTTTCGATGGAATGATTGATTTATCAGGGAAGACCCATGGGATAAAATGGATCATTGATGGATAATTCATGTATTATGTATGGATAATATATATATATATATATATATCATTGAATAAGAATCATATTGGATGATTACCATCTGGAACGTAACAAACTGCAAAATCACCATTCCTAGTAGGTAAATCATATCATAAATCCGCTATCAAATGGGTTGTTTTCCATGGCTATGTTCAATTACCAGGAGGTGTAATATGTAATATATATATTAGTTAATGGATATAATTATTTAATATAGTAACAACAATCAGGGAAGATTGATGGATAATTGATGGATCTTATGAATAGTTTCCAGGATTTTTTATATTTTAATATAGTGTCCAGGTCTTACGCCTCCTAACAGGACATTGTATTTAAACAGGCCATCGCACCCCCCTAGATAATCAATGGAATATTACAGTATATATTATCTGGTTGGTGGTTTTACCATGTTTTACCCATCTTGAAAGTCAGTGGGAAGGATTACATCCCATATATGAAATGGAAAATGTTTATCCATTCATGTTTGAAACCACCAAGCAGTCATCCAGATATATCCACAATTATCCAGATCAAGTTGGGTGGCTTTGCATATCTCCACTACATCATACTACGTACATATCAATGGAATATTATATTATGGAAAAATAATGAAAAAATAATATGGAAATTATGGAAATATAAAAATCGATGGAAAAATAATGGAAAAATATGGAAAAATCATTGTTTCACCGTTTGGTCATCAATGCTTAATTAAAGTCCTATGGGGAATTGCAAAAAAAGCCGGATGCGACCGTGGTTTTTCACAAACAGCTCAGCGATTGCCGGGAGACGGCGGCAAGGGCCGACATCAGGCAATCACTCATCAAAGACGGCCATTGAAAATCCTGTGTAGATGGAGGTTTTATTGGATCAATCATTGAACATCCTATATATGAATGGAGGTTTTCTTGTGGTTTTATTGTGAAAATCATCGAAATACATGGTGAATTTTACATCAAACCATGTTTGATTCTCAGTATTCGTCAGTGGGAATTCAACCCACCCATGATTCGCCATCAGTACCTCGGTGTAGGGCCTATCGGTTGTCTCAAGGAAATACTGAATAGATGGGCCCTCAAGTGATGGGACGATTCTTGGCGGTTCAAACATGTTCAAAACATCTTCCGCGGATGTTGAATATCATGTTGAATCCATATATAATCCCAGAAATCCGAGGTAGAGTGGTAGAGTGGCAAATGAGTTTGAGCCTCAACATCCTCCCCTGATCATCCACAACAAACTGTTGGCACAGTTCACAAATGACATAATTCCTCATCCACGCAACACTTGCTAACGCTGGACCATGGACCAAATCTTGAACCATGCGCACATTTCCAGGAGTGAACCCCGCATGTTTGCTAGCCCACTCCGACTTTCCCTGATTAAATCCCGTTTTTTTTTCCTGGCTATAAACACCCCCCTTCCTTGTTGATTACATCCGTCTTCATGCCCGTGACATCGATATTTCTGCTGGTAACCCCAGCTAGAACCATGCTCTCCTTCGCCGAAGCACAATCCTCCATCGCTGCAACCACAGTGATCAGTGCCGCCAACATCGCGCCGACGAACGCCATGCCCAAAATGCCGAGCAACGTACGGCTCGGACCAAAGGGCAGCTGGGTAGCTTTTGCCAACAGCCGCACGATTTGTTAAAATATATACTGTAGTATATGATAGTATATGATAATGATAATGTATGATATATGAATATATAGTGATATACAGCATATGACAATGTATGATATAGTTTCGCTATTTTTGATTTGTTGGCTTGTTTTCGTGCGGCGAAAAAAACTCGATTCTTCCAATTTCGGCCTAACAAAAACAATAGCCAAGCTCGAGCCAAGAGTGGCGGGGCTAGGAATTCTTAGAAGACAATATTTCTATTTAGCTGGATAATATGTACATATATCATTATATATTCCATTATATCCCCATCTATATATATATACTGGTTGGTGGTTTCAACCCATCTGAAAAATATTAGTCAATGGGAAGGATTATTCCATCTAGTATGGAAAAAAAAAATGTTCCAAACCACCAACCAGTATATATATATATATAGCTATAATATGCTATAATATGGAGGTCTCCTAACAGGGGGGTACCCCCAGTTCCCATCAGTGAGACCACACAGATTGTTGATGTCAAATGACTCTACTGGTCGACTTAATAATATTAATACTGTAACTATGTCTAAGTCATTTATTAATATATATATATATACAGTATATTAAGTCTATTAAATATTAATATTAACTGATGAATGACTTAATAATGTTAATACTGCATCGATGAAATAGTTTCAGACTTATATATAAATATATATTATATATACATATTCATATACATATTTTTTGCTACCGGCACAAAGATCTTTCGATGTGGCCAAATATACGTATATAATATATCTATATATAGATGATTATAGATGAATGATGAGTAAGTAATATCGAGTAAGATGTGACCGGCATCTTAAGTTTTTGCTTCTTGACCGGGATTCACAGACACTTTCACGACACCCAGGCATAAATCGTACCCGACAAGGAGCTAAGCTATAGGTAACCACCACAAACCCAACCCCAAAAACAATTCCGTGCTCCTCCCAAAACAAGGCTTGGAATGCAAACATTCTTATGTTTCAAGAATGGAATCCTGGTTGGCGGTTTTAACCATCTTGAAAAATATGAAAGTCAATGGGAAGGATGACATCCCATATGTGTATATATATATAATTATATATATACATTATGGAAAATAAAATTCATGTTTGAAACCACCAACCAGAATCATAGTCCATACATTTGTTTTGGGTGTTGGACTTATGAGTTTTCAGTCGGGTTTCTCGAAAGATTCCAAGATCTTCCAGAGATCTACAGCCCGTACCCATTCCAGTTAATCAAACTGAATGATCACCCCTTCACCGACCAAGTTCCTCAAAAGAAACCGTTGTTTGCAAGTATCATATTCGTTCTATGTTCGTTATATATGTCCCATCTATATATATATATATATTATATATCCCCGTGTATTTGCTGGTTCAATCCAACTTTTGGGTTGTGTTCATAAAGGTATCGGTATCCCAAATTTCACTGCTGCTGCTTAATCATTGAAATCATTACCCTCTGGGAAACCAACATAACTATGGAAAATCACCATAGAAATAGTGATTTTTCAAATGAAAAATTGTTATGTTTTCATAGTTTTTTGTATGCTTACCAGAGGGTATGTTCCACGAGTTTCCCACAGAAATGTGCCATTGTAAAAGGGTATACCACCATCTTCACACACACACACACACCGTTGTTTGTTGGCGAACAAAAAGCTAAACATAGTGTTGCTTCTACATCCCGCCATATTCCCGCAATTGTGTATATATAATTACGTATATATATATATATATAATATTATACAATGATATATGTATATATAATATATACATCATGACTATTATATATTGTATCCCCATGATTCTAAGTTTCGTACCCCATTTTTGCAACGTCCAGTGCCTGGCCCCGCATGCGACGACTCTGCTCCAAAGAGCAGCGCTGCACTACGTCCTTCAGCTGCTGCAGGCGTCGCTTCTTGTCCTCCTGTGCCAATGCCGAAAAGTTGCAGCTGGAAAGGAGCATCCTAGAAACATGCTTCTATCTTTTTTGGTGGTTACATGGGGTTACTATGGTTTTTTTTTTCCGCTTAGGATTGATGGTGCGGTGCTTTTTTAATGGTTTTACATGGATTGCATGGGACATATGGCGAATTAACTGACAGAACTGAAGATTTAACAGGCAAACATTGGGATGTAAGGGATACATCAACAACACTATGAGATTTGGATAGATTTGTTGCACGCATACCCAATGGGAAATTGTGTGATCGGGAAAATGATCAACAACCACATCTTGATCATATTGGGTTGCCGGATTTTCAGACCAACCCATCCTCACCTAGCGCCCTTTGGTCATACCCCCAAGGTTTCCGCATGACAAATTCTTGTGAAGTATGTCCTTGAGACCGGACTTATTGGTGATTTTATTCCATTTCATACTCCCATCATTCTCTCATGGTTTGGTATACAAGTACCTATGTTCCTCATCCTCTCCCACCACTATTGATGGTTAAGTCCTAAAAAATCCCCCATCAATGGCGAAATCCGGACAGTCTCCCATTTGTTCATGGCTAACTCTTGATTTTCCACCATTTTTCATAGCTAAATCCTCTGTCCCACAGCCAAAAAAAAACACGCCTCTGGCACCTGATTTGGCCGCTGCGCCGCCAACGTGTTGGGCCGCGGAGAATAGGCAGCCAGGTTGACGGTCAAGAAGCCAATTTCCTGGCAGTCCGGAGTCCTGAGTCCTGGTTCATGATGTGTGGAAATCATGGCAAAGTAAAGAAAATATCAGATATCATGTCGAATTATTGGGTCGCATATATATATATCTGGCCTAAGGTTAAGGAAGTCAAAAAGTGACAAGATGTTTTTTGAGAATATTTGTTGGGTTCCATTGACTCAATATGATTCCAATAATTGATGTTCATTATTGTTACTACCCGAGTTCAACTGTTCAATGTTTGAATAATAACACCCCGGTTCAATGTTGAACTATTAGTACTAAGACCACTAATGGAAGAAATTTTCACTTTAGGCACTTAACGAACTAATAAGTATCTGATAAGTTGCTAGTATCTTGCTAATATCTTGTTTAAATTATTTTTAAAAATTAATTTTGAGTTAAGTTTCACTATTTGTTTATTTGAGTTTATTACATAATAATGAAGATATAATCAAATATATTCGAATATTAGTGAAAAATATCTGAAAATATATTTGAAAATATCTGAAAATACCTGAAAATATCTGAAAATAGCTGGAAATCATTTTTTTGTTTTGTTTTCATTTCGAAGTTGCTGCCCAGGAATAGTTGGAGAAATAGATACCTGAAAACTATGGTTCCTGTAAAGGAAAGTTCCAGTAAAGGAGATACCATCCTTTTCAGGAACTCTCCTTTGCTGGAACTTTCCTTTACAGGAACCATCCTTTTCAGGAACTCTCCTTTACTGGAACTTTCCTTTACAGGAATCATGGTTTTCAGGCACTTTCCTTTGCTGGAACTTTCCTTTACAGGAACCATAGTTTTCAGGAACCCTCCTTTGCTGGAATTTTCCTTTACAGGAACCATCCTTTTCAGGAACTCTCCTTTGCTGGAACTTTCCTTTACAGGAGCCATCCTTTTCAGGAACTCTCCTTTGCTGGAACTTTCCTTTACAAGAGCCATCCTTTTCAGGAATCCTGCAAAGGAAAGTTCCAGTAAAGGAAAGGTCCCAAAACGGAGCCTACTTTAAGCTAATTTATCTTGAACAAAGGAGAGTTTTCTGAAAATTCAGGTCCTTGAAAAGGAAAACTCAAACTTGAGAAAATTCAGACACGTCAAAATCCATAAAAATCAGAAAATACTTAAATACTAAAAAGAAGAAAATTCAGAATCCAAAAAAAAACATACTCCCAAAAAAAAATAGAGTCCAGAAAATTTAGAAAATTCAGAATCCAGAAAATTCAGGAAATCAAAAAACAACCCAGAAACTTTATAGAAGCAAAAAAAAAAATCCATAAAATTCAGAAAATCAAAAAAACATAGAATCCAGAAAATTCAGAAAATGGAAAAAAATAGAATCCAGAAACTTTAGAAAATTCAAAATCCAGAAAAAATAGAAAACCAAAAAAAATAGAATCTGGAAAAAATAGAAAATCCAGAATCCAGAAAACTCAGGAAATCTTAAAAAAATAGATTCCATAAAATTTAGAAACCAAAAAAAATGGAATCTAGAACATTTTTAGAAAATTCAGAATCCATAAAATTCAGAAATCTAAAAAAAAATAGAGTCTAGAAAATTTATAAAAGCAAAACAACTAGAATCCAGAAAATTCAGAAAATAAAAAAAAAAAGGATCCAGAAAATTTAGAAACAAAAAAAAATGGAATCTAGAAAATTAGAAAAATCAGAATCCAGAAAATTCAGAAAATTCAGAATTCAGATAAAATCAGAAAATAGAAAACAAACATAGAATCCAGAAAATTTAGAAGATCAAAAAAAAATCTAGAAAAATTAGAAAACCTGAAAAAATAAAATCCAGAAAATTTAGAAAACCCAAAAAAAAATAGAATCCAGAATATTTAGAAAACCAAAGAAAAATATAATCTAGAAAAAAATGAAAATTCAGAACCCATAAAATTTAGAAAATCAAAAAAAAATAGGATCTAGAAAATTCTTAAAAAACAAAATCAAGAACATTTGGACAATCCAAAAAAGTTAGAATCCAGAAAATTTATAAAATCAAAAAAACAAAGAATCTAGAAATTCAGAAAATTAAGAATCCAGACAATTCAGAAAATCAAAAAAATAGACTCCAGACAATTTAGAAAATCAAAAAGAACATAGAATCTAGAAATTTTAGAAAATCAAAAAAAATAGAATTCAGAAAATCTAGCCAAAACAAGTTAGAATCCAGAAAATGTAGAAAACCAAAAAAGAAATAGAATCTAGAAAAATTAGAAAAACTATAATCCAGAAAATTCAGAAAATCAAAAAAAATAGAATCCAGAAAAATCATAAAATCCAAAAAAAAATAGAATCCAAAAACTTTTGATAACTTACAATTCCAAATAATTACAAAATTTCAAAAATTTAGACAATTTAGAATTCAGTAAATTTAGAATTTTAAAAAAGGAAAACACATTCCTCTGAGGAAGCTACATTCAACCTGAAAGATTCAACGCAGAAACTTTCCATTTCAGGAACTACATCCTTTTCAGGAATTATCGTTTCAACATCTTGAGTTTCTAAATGTTTTTTTTGTTGTATATATGTATATAATATACATATATATATATTGTATTTTCCAACATATTTTATTTCGCAATCATTACAAGCAGCTATGAGAGAATCTTTAGTATGACTCGCAGCCATACTTTAGCAGCTAGTCTGTGCTGAGCCGCTGCTTCTCTTCTGCCATGGCTCCCAAGGCAAAGGATGTAGTTCCTGAAAAGGATGGTTCCTGAATAAGAAAATATCCTGAAAAGGATAATAGATGCTAAAAAATAATGCAAACCTACCCAAAACTTTTTACTTATTTCTTATATTCAATTGTGTTTTGCAAAATGTATAAAAGAAAAATCCTTCGTCTATTATCAGTTCTGAACCTTTGAAAATATCAAAAAAATAAGTGAAAATAAGTAAAAATAAGTGAAAATAAGTTCTATGATAAGTTCAAATAAGTACTAATATTTCCATTAAGTGCCTGAAGTGAAAATATCTTCCATTAGTGGTCTTAGTGATGATATCATCATTTTAATTTGACAAAATAAACATTTAGACAGAGCGGTCTATATCCAAAGTGGGTTGATTTCGCCTGGTCGTTGTAGATTTTCATTTTGCTCTCAAACATGAATCTGATTTGATCTGATAGCAAAAAATCAATAATCAAATTCAATAAACATGGGGTTCCCATCAGGCCATCATTTATTGGAGCATTGGAAAGTCGATTTATTTCATGAAGTAAAAATAATAATGGGATGATCAAAATCATATTCCGCCGGCCCTGACAAAGGGAGCGCATGAATCAATCTCACAACAACAATTAGGAATTTGTAATTAGCTTAGCTGCTGCTGGCAATGCACAAACTCTGCGGAGAAGCATGGGCTGTCACTTGCCTTTGACTTACCAGTGATGAAATGATGGTGATGCCCTTGGTGATGACGATAATGAGGGTGGCCTGATGACGACGACGACGACGACGACGACGATGATGATGATGATTTCCTGATAAGAACGATGATGGTGACGATGGTGGTGATGATGATGATGATGACGATGGTGACGGAGATGCTGATGATGGTAATGATGAAGAAGAATAGTAGAAAAATACATGGACAGACAAATGCATTTTCAAGATGACCTTGCTTTAAATCAATGGGGTATCGTCCGGCTTGGACGAGTATATCAATGGTTATAATTGGGGTGAAATCTGGATCAGCAGTAGCCTCTGCCATACCTCTGCCAGGACTGCACAGAAATACACAAAAATTAAAAAACCAGGAAAGTCTGACACGTGGTGATAAGGAAATCAGTGCATAACAGATAGGATCTGACAGTCCCTATCCCCTGTGCGTTCGGTAGCGCTCTGGAGTGCACCCAGCCTATCACCACCATTGTACGAACCATGGATTTTGGAGTGCATAGGCCCTATACGTAATTTTTGCCCTATGGTGTTAAGTGCAGTATAGGCTGGGCACTCTCGGTAGCGCTCTGGAGTGCACAGGGGATAGGGACTGTCAGATCCTATCTGTTATGCACTGATTTCCTTATCACCACGTGTCAGACTTTCCTGGTTTTTTAATTTTTGTGTATTTCTGTGCAGTCCTGGAAGAGGTATGGCAGAGGCTACTGCTGATCCAGATTTCACCCCAATTATAACCATTGATATTACTTGTCCAAGCCGGACGATACCCCATTGATTTAAAGCAAGGTCATCTTGAAAATGCATTTGTCTGTCCATGTATTTTTCTACTATTCTTCTTCATCATTCCCATCATCAGCATCTCCGTCACCATCGTCATCATCATCATCATCACCACCACCATCGTCACCATCATCGTTCTTATCAGGAAATCATCATCATCATCATCATCGTCGTCGTCGTCGTCGTCATCAGGCCACCCTCATTATCGTCATCACCAAGGGCATCACCATCATGTCATCACTGGTAAGTCAAAGGCAAGTGACAGCCCATGCTTCTCCGCGGAGTTTGTGCATTGCCAGAACAGCCGCACAGAGCTCACAGCAGCACCAAGCACAGCACAGAAGAAGCGCTGTTCATCAGCAGCAGCTAAGCTAATTTGTTGTGAGATTGATTCATGCGCTCCCTTTGTCAGGGCCGGCGGAGTATGATTTTGATCATCCCATTATTATTTTTACTTCATGAAATAAATCAATTTTCCAATGCTCCAATAAATGATGGCCTGATGGGAACCCCATGTTTATTGAATTTGATTATTGATTTATGCTATCAGATCAAATCAGATTCATGTTTGAGAGCAAAATGAAAATCTACAACGACCAGGCGAAATCAACCCACTTTGGATATAGACCGCTCTGTCTAAATGTTTGTTTATTTTGTCAAATTAAAATGATGATATCATCACTAAGACCACTAATGGAAGATATTTTCACTTCAGGCACTTAATGGAAATATTAGTACTTATTTGAACTTATCATAGAACTTATTTTAACTTATTTTTACTTATTTTCACGTATTTTTTTGATATTTTCAAAGGT